ATCAGACAAAAACAATGGAAAATTCATAAACTTAATGAATCAGCACATATGCTAGGCCACAAAATCTCCTGAGCTGACCAAGCATAGAAATGAATACAATATGGAAGTGCCAGAGAAAAGTGATAATAACAACAAAAATTACAATATGAGCTCTGGTAAGAACATGCAATGATAACTGCAAAAATTGTGATATGAGCACTGGTAAAAAATCGTTGCTGAAGACATTAGTTTTATAATACCCAGAAATTCAGATGTCCTCAAGGACACATGGCACAGTGGATAAAGGTGTTAGTTAGATCCTGTGACCCAAAGAGTGTGAATTCAATACCTGGTTAAGGCAGTGACGAACTTGGAGAGGGGAGATAACTAATAACTGACATCCATTAAAAACATGGCACGTAGAACTAGAACAGTCTACCCCAGTGAGCAAAATAAAGGGTTTGGTTTGACATTCCAACCACCTGAAGAAGGCCGGAGCGTACAATGGCCAAAATGTTGTAATGAATATGTCGACAAATATGAGAAAAATAGTCTGAATAATGTAAATAGTGTACATAATACCTCATCTCGGAAATATAGACAGATACTGAATAACAATTTTTTTCTGTGAGTTTAGACTTGTTCAAATATCAAATAAAAGTGATTCTTTACTTTCCGACATGAATATTAATTAGTCATTTCTTTTATAGATAAAAAATTTTCACTTTTCATGACTAATTTTTGTTGCTTTGCATTCATAAGAACTTCCTCTACTCAGGTAATTTGTGAGAATCGAAAAACATTAATTTTCTATTATTCTAGATTCTGTTTACAATATAAATATGTCAAACTGATCTCTGACTTTTTGACATACATGTAGTTTTCTTTCCTTTTTGAGGAAACTAGTCTATAAGTATTGCTGTTTTAAAATGAAATGTATCATTACTATGTAATGTGTGTGTATAGATATGATGTTCGTTTAATTTCCAGTAGACAGAAATGTTGCAAGAATGAAATAAACTGGTAACATTTGTTGAATTTTCTTTCATCTACCTATTTTTGAAAATATATCTGCACAGGTCTCTTGTCAAATTTTTTCTTGGAATATCCTCACGACCACCTACCTTATTAAGAAAAACGTAACATTTTTCATTCTTAATTTTTTTCATGTTGTAAAAAGAAAAACAAGTACAAAGAGCATATTAATAGAAAAATAACTGAGACAGTTAAGTTTTGAAAGATTAAAAAAAAAATCAAATAATTCTTTATTATTGAAAATTTATGAAAAAACAGATTCAGATTTGCAATTATTCAAAGATCATGGAAAAATTGGTTGACAAATGTTTTCTTGTAATGTTTTAAAGTTCATAAAAAAAGTAGAAAGCTTACTTTGTTTGTTTGAAAAGGCTTCCAAGGTCATGCCCTTTGGAGCCTCTTTTGATAGTTCAGCATTTTGGCACAGTGTGTCGTTGGAGAAGGTAGATGTCTTGTTTTGGTTGAAAATGAAACAAGTACACATGGAATGAATATATTTTCAGGTTGCGATGAGGGCGCACTGTTTTGAATTACAAGAAAAGTTTTTGCGATGATAAAATGAGTTAACTTTTCTCATTTTCTCTCTTTTAAAAAGAATTTTATCTTTTAAGATGAAGGCAAAAATTGCTGTGGCTTGTATTTTAAGGGCACCTTGGCACTTTTTTTTTTTTTTTTTTTTTGCATTTTGCTGCAGTGCCACAGTCTAAACTCATCCCTATATATATATATATATATATATATAGTATACAACAACATCCAAAATTACCTCCTATTGGGGGGATAAATCTATTTCAACTGACGAAAACTACATCAGTCTTATTCAACACTAGTATAGAGTGAGTTTGTGTCGGAATTAGATATTTAACTTTGACAGTTGTTGAAAAATTGATAGAGAATTTATCCAGTTTGATTTTTCAGTCAGACAAAACGCCCATTATGGTGGTTAGGGGAGGGTAGAAGGTATTAGCCTTAAAGGAAAGAGGTTATATAAAATTAAACCCAGATATTAACCTTATGACATTAAATTGGGGTTATATGAAGAATGAGGTGTTAATTAGAAAGTAAAAGAGGGGCGAAAAGAGAGTTTTTTATAAAAAAAGAAAAAAAAATATGGTTAGGTTCCTACTAAAAATACTCTTTCAATGATAAATTATACTTAAAAATAAGATATATTTAAAAAAATTAAAAATAAGTCATATTTAGATAATATATGTTAAATTTAAGTAAGAATATATTTAAAAAAAATTTATATTAAAGAATAAATATATTTAAAGATAAAATATAATAAGATAAAACAAATGATACATTTTTAACTTTAAAGATAAGTAACATTATATTAAATTAAAAACAAACCATACAAAGTTATATTTAAAAAAAACCTGAAAAATAACCTAAAAAAAACTAAAATAAAATATATAGATAAAGAGGTGTAAGTGATAAAAAGAAAGTTTTTAAAACAGGGGACAATTATAAGATATAATTAATATGGTGTAAAAATGGAAATATAGAAATAAGAAAAAGTTATACATTCGACATTTGAAGGTTTAGAGAATTATAAAGTAATAAAGTAAAATCTATATTATAGAAGTTTAAATTTGTTTTTTGTTGACATTTTAAAACTAATTCATTCCTTTGACTTAATAGTTTGCTTTGATTATTGTATTTCATTATTGTAATTTTTTTCTTCTAAACACAAGTTACGCCTATCTCTAAGGAGTACGAGTGGAACCTATAATTTTCCAGTCTGTCCATAGATTCAGACCTTTTTCCTTCAATTCCCAAAATGTTTTTGAAAGAGCTGTCTGGTGTTTTAATTTAGGGTTGTTAAATTGTGTGTATATATATTTATTCTGTTTATACACTATTTTAATAGATACAATTTATTTAAGTAAATGCTCCATTTTTTTAATTAAACAGTATTAATTACATTTACCGGCCTGAATGTTCGAGAAATTTTGTAGGAAATATGCATTCACCAACGGGAATTGAACATGTAACCTATAGAGAACCATCATTTGATCTGATGTGCTGTACCACTTAGCTATAGAGAAGCGTCTGATTAGCAAAGTCTAAATTAATGTTCTTAAACAACAAATCTTTGATCTTTCTTGAATGATCATATCTGTTCAAGAGACTTACCTTAGCGTAGACATTGACAAAATATTATGAAATGGAATATGTCCGACAATTATTTAATATATTTTCTGTTTATACATTAGTTTAATAGATACAATTTATTTAAGTAAATGCTCTGTTCTTTTAATTAAACAGTAATAATTACATTTACTGTCCTGAATGGTCAAGAAATTGCGTAGAAAATATGCATTCTCCAACAGGAGACATTCACACTGTTTTCTATTTAAACTGAATTAATTGCCCTGATTTGACATTGAGCTCTCTGGATTACATCCTCCTTGAGATTATCCATATGGATTACCAAACTTTTCATTACTTATATATATATATATATATATATATATATATATATATATATATATATATATATATTTTCTCTGATTTAACTAGTAGAAGACAATATTTATGAATAAAAATGACAATAGGAAAACTGGTAATTGCTGACGCGTTTTGTTTAATGTGGACTTTATCAAAGCAAAATACGAAAATGAAAAAAATAAAAAATAAAACAATTACCAGTTTTCCTATTGTCATTTTTATCCATAAATATATATATATATATATATATATATAGCATTAACTATAAAATAGTCCACCTGGTTATGATAAAATTTCATTTAATTTAGGAAAAAAAACAAAAGCATATAAATAATTAAAATGCATGACAAATTCTCACATGATGGCATATCTTAGTATTTGAAAGTAATGGTTAACCTAATTTATAAATAAATTTAAAATTCTAGGCGTATTTTTAGCCAAACAAATGTAATCATTCTTTGAAAATGGTTTATACTGGCTGAAAGTGTTTAGAATTTGGACAATACTTGCAGATTGTTGAATCTGATAATAAACAATGAGTCAAAAAGGGATAAAAAGTTAATAAAAATGCTTGACAAAGATCTTTTGTTGGTCTTTAATAGAACCTGTATAAAGGAAAAATATTTCTGCCTGAATATGCTTTCTATATATATATATATATATATATATATATATATATATATATATATATGTGTGTGTGTGTGTGTATAAAATATATTTATTGTGTGTCTGTAAAGTAAATATGGCCGTCTCTTTTCTGAAACAGTATAAAAAAAAAATTAAAAAAAACAACCTGTTTTCTGCTATTAATCTTTTTGTGAACATTTTCATGTTTCCAATTGTGTGCTTTTGGGTGAATGAACTTGTGTTTAAGTTTAAATCATCTTTTTGTTTTGTTTTGTTTTTTTCTTTGTTTCTTTCATTTTTTTTTCCTAAAAAGTGGTATTGATCAAACCAAAAAAAACTATTGTTTTTAAAAATGGAAAAAGAAAAACATGTGCATCCATAGAATAGCTAAGGTTTTATCAAGAAAAGAAAATTGTTTAATACTGGTTTATGTTTAGAAAAAACATTTAGAAAACTTTGGATTTCATATATTTATTATTAATTTCAATGATTTCATATTGAACAGCAATCAGTAGTTGTGTATATAAAAATAATACAAAAGTTCATATAATACAATGCTCAAGAGCCAGTCAAAGTAGTTACTTACTGTTAAAATAATTATAATGAATGAGGTGTGATATGAGTGACAGATTGATGGACTTGTTTTTTTACAGCTTACCAACCTATTGCAGGTTATTTAAAGCCAGAAAATATTTTTTGATCATAAGAATTTTTTTTTGAGTTAATAATGGTTTTAGGGATACAAGTCTTACTAATTAACCCATAGCTGAGGGAGAAGAGGTAGATTCAGAACTTTCCTAATGGTGTTTGTGCATAAGTGAATATAACAGATTGGAACTCAGCTCTCTGATTAACAATTCCAATTTGCTATCCATTACACCACTCACACATCTGTGCTTACAGCATGTATTCTTAAGCAGTCACCTATCTAGGTACTGAACAGGCTCAACATTGCTTAACTTTGGTGATCATATAGGAACCGGTGTTTTAACGTTATGTGGTCATAAGTCCTTGTGTGAAAGAGGTGGCAGGAAGTGAAGATTGTGAATAAATAGGATAAGTAGTGATTGACTCTTGACTTGAAGAGGTGAAGATTATAGTGTTTTGGGAAGCATTCACATGGGAGTCTCTTTCCAAAATATGGAAGAAATGAAATTGTTTGAACTTTATAGAAGTAGCATGGTAAGTCCTAGCAGAAAAAAAGGCCTCTAATCAGGAGGTTTTGAGGAGCATGGAACCACCTCTTAATTGTCAGTGTTCCCAGGTCCACCCTGACCCAGAAATGGTAGCACCTGTTAGGGTCCCAGCTATGGACAAATAGTTAACCCCCGAAACTGAGGTAAAAACACTATAAAAGTGTAAAAACAGGTTTTAATACCAGAAATACTTTGTAAAAAAAAAAAAAAAAAATATATATATATTTCCAGCAATAAATTTTTGAAGAAAAAAAAACTATTATCAGCTATACATTTTTGAGGAAAAAAATATTACCAGCAATAGTTTTTTGAAAAAAATTATTACAGCAACACATTTTTGATAAAACAAATTATTACCAGAAATTGATTTTTGACAAAACAAAATCTTACCAGCAATGAAAAATTTGTTGGCATTAAATAACCCATTGGGGTTGATATGCCGTAAAACAAAACAAAATAAACCAAACCTAGCAGTAAAAGTCTGAACTGGTGGAATTAAAGACTGATGCTCATCTTAGGATGGGCATGGGTTTTGGTGGTGTAATGGATAATGGCTTGGAATTGGAAGTCAGAGAGCCAAGTTCAAATTCCAGTTGGGTTCATTACAATCATTTACATGCAAATAACTTTGGGAAAGGCATGAATCCACCTCTTCTCCCCCCAGCTTTGGGTTAAATAGCAGGACAGACTGGGTTCTATAGTCATGGTTGGCAACCAGTCTACTGCAGAAACAAACGGCAAACTACTGCCGGAAAATCTTTTGCCTATTCATGAATCAAAAGAGAAATGATCGCCCAAGTGTGTATTACACATAGCACCTCACTAACTGACTGCTATCTGAACATGAGTGATAGTGGAGTAATAGACATGTGACATTGTGTCTGTAGGAGAAGAGGCTGCAGAATCAAGAATAAATCATTTTGCAAGAGATTGTTTGTCTTCATTCTATAAACTACATCCAGTAGCAAGGCCTCTGATTGGGAGTGTGGAACCACCTCTTAATTGCTGTTGTTTCCAGGTTTGCCCTGACCCTGGATGGTAGCACCTGTTAGGATCCCAGCTATAGGCAAATAGTTACTCACAAACTGTGGTCAAAACACTATAAAAGTATAATAGACTTTTATAATAAAAACACCAGCAATACATCTTTGAAAAAAAAAAGTATTATTAGCAATACATTTGACCCTCAACAAAAACCTCTTTACAAAAATATGTCAATGAAACCCAATCTACAAACTGATTTCTTACAAAGAATAAATATTCTATTCATATGAATCTATTGTAAAAATCTTGATGGCATTAAATAACCCATTGAGATGTTGATATGCCAGAAAACAAAATAAACCAAATCAAAAGATTGTGCAAATGATTTTGAAATCTGTCAAGGCTAGAAAGTGAGGAATTAGCAGCTCCAACCCAGATATGGCAGCATTCTTTCTTTTTTTTTTTTTTTTTACTTACTCTTGTAAAGATAAAACACATTAGGAGTCGTTCAAGTCGAGTCAGTAGTTCAAGTCGAGTCAGTAGTTCAAGTCGAGTCAAGAGTTGAGTCAGAGGCAGTCCGAAACAGAGTCGCGTTCAGACAATAACTGCAAGACATTGGAATAGTGATACTGGTCAAGACTACATTGTTCTCTCTACTAAACTTGATTGTTCATACTAACACTTCTACTTCTCTGTATATATTCCTGTTTGTAATATATCTGTTATTCCACACCTGTGTTCGAGTTCTTCTTTATTGGTTCTACCTTGGACTATCACTGTGGTACAAGGAACCGGACCATAACAGAAGGTAAAGAACTTGTTTACGTCTTATTTTATCATAGCCCTTCTGTATTTTGTATACTTCACAAAAATCAGTGAACTGGTGTCTTGACTGAAGGGATGGTCGATTGATTTCATTTGTAGCCTGTTTGAGGCAACTATCTTGGTCTGACAATATCCTTTTTGTAATGTGGGCTCTCCATATTGATGTATTGAATGAATAAGCATTGTTTTTAATTTTTTTTTTCTCTTGAGCGAGATTTGTAAAGTAATACTTGTTCTTTGATTGGCCTTCTCAAACAATCCACCAACAATGACCACAACATGTGTCTCCTGTTCAGTACAGCAGTCACACTTCTTCCCTCTGTCTCCTCTTAATGTCCTTTTTATAGCTTGATTGACAGCCAAAATTTACATATGTTAAAAGAGACTCTCACAAATGTCTATCCGACTCCGAGGTATATCTGTTTTAAATGTATGACTTGTGAAGCTGCCATTTTTCCTTTTGAGATATTTTACATGCAAGACATGTACGAATCTGTTTTTGTTCTGGAGGTAAGCCATTTTCTCTAGTCTTACATTGACTGCTGCAAGAAATGCATGCAACACTGGGTTTCTTTGCCCTCTGATGTAGATCATTACAGTACTACATAAGATACTACATATTATGAAATGGACTAAGTCTGACAATTATTTTAATATATTTTCTGTTTATACATTATTTTTATAGATACAAATATTTAAGTAAATGCTGCTTATAATAAAGAGTATTAACAACATTTACCGGCCTGAATGTCCGAGAAATTTCATAGAAAATATGTGTCCTCTGACGAGAACTGAACCTGTATCCTATACAGAACCGTCGTATAGCCTGACATGCTATACTATTTAGCTACAGAGGAAGTGTCTGGTAAGCATGGTCAAATTACTGTTTTTAAACTACAAATTTTCCATGATTTGTCTTGAATGCTCATATCTGCTCGAAACATATCTTAACATAAAGAAATGACATCATATATTATGAAATGTAAACAGAAATTATATTAAAATAATTGTCTAGATTAGTCCATTTCATAATATATTATGTCATTTATGGGGGAAGATTTTTCTCATACTGTTGACTATGTGAGAATTTGGTGACCTTGTAATTGTGAGATCAATCCCTGAGCTAAGCAGTGCATATTTGAACCCAGTGGAAATGTGGCCAGCAATAACTGAGCAGTATTAAATAAGTAGTAGATATCACTAGATAGGTTAAGCAGAATGAGAACAAGCTACTCCCATACATTAAATGAGGTTTTCAGCTTGAAATTCCCTGATGGTTACTCAGATCTTCAAGCACCTGATGAAGACTGGAGTGAACAATTTTGTGATAACAATAACAATGATGAGGACAATCAGTCCACACGTCAATGTACTCATTATTTAGAGTAGAAAACACAAGCTTATTGGTAAACGGACTCAGTTACTATTGTTGCTGGTTTCAACACTTTTGATATGAGATGTGGCTGTTTTTAGTAAGTGTTTAAGGCTCCTGGATACATTTCTTGTGCAAACAATATTGTCAGGTTCATATGAGTCCAGGGAAAAATAAGTGTTAAGACATGGAATTTAAACAAATAATTACCATAATTCCCCATGTATAATACGCCGTCATGAATAATATGCACCCCTAAAATTGTGCTGAAAGTATGAGAAAATGTTTCTACTCACATATAATATGCACCCCTTGTTTGGTAATCAAACCCCTATAAATTGTGCTTCTCTAATTTCATTACAGCCAGCGTTTTCTACTCTTATTAAAAAATGGTTTTAAACATAGAATAATATTCTTATTTATTTTATGATAATTCGTATTTTATTTTACATCCGTAAGTATTGTTAGGTACATATGATTGTATTTGACATTGTTATGGGGTTGCAATTTCCGAATGTTAGTGTTAAATTGTCATATGTTTGTGGTGAGTAGTCATTTCACAACTGAAATCGACCTATAAAATGGTGTTTTTTTATGTTTTTTGTAGCTGTGCATAATACACACTCCTAATTTTTCTTATTTTTTTTAGAAAAAATGCGTGTTATACAGGGGGAATTACTGTGTGTGTATATATATATATATATATATATATTTTTTTTTTTTTTTTCTCTATCTCACTCTCTCTCTCTTTCTCTCTAATTCTAAATTGTGCTTCTCCAATTTCATTATGGCCTGCATATCTTACTTTTATTAAAGAAAATGGTTTTAAACATAGAATAATATTATTCTAATTTAGTTTTATGATAATTCTTAGTTTATTTTACATTTGTAAATTTTATTTGACATCCTTATGGGGTCACAATCACCAAATGTTAGTGTCAAATTGTCATGTGTTTGCAGTGAATAGTCTTTTCACAACTGAAATTAAATTATGAAATGGCAATTGTTTTTTTTTTTTTGTTTTTTTTTAAAGATTTTTTTAAAGAATTTTTTTGTAGCTATGCATAATATGCACCCATAATTTTGCTTATTATTTTTTTGAAAAAATTGCATACTATACATGTTGAATTACAGTATTAACAAATATATTGCTCAGACATATTACAAAAGAGAAAAATGAGAAATTTAATTAAACATGAAAAGTTCAAAGCAATGTTCAGTGTCTGTAGCTGAGGTACTTACATATTGGCAAGAGCGAGAATACACCTTTCATTATCAAAGTCATCAAGGCAAGAAAGAGAATATGATTACCTTTCTATAGACTTAAAGAGTGCACCCTAACAAGCATTTTTGGCAAAGCCAAGTAGGGGAAACCCACACTCTGCACATTTTTATTGAACACTATAAATGTATCAGGTTCTGTCCAAGAGTATTTCGATATATGCACTGTACTGAATCATGGATACAGCTGGTAAGAGTTACAGCTCAGTAAGAACTGCTGCAGAGCATAGTGAAAGAAAGCAAGAAGAAAGGACTAAACATCAATTGCAAGAAGATAGAATGCATGGTTGCTAGCAAAAGGAACAGCCCAACATGCAAATTACAAATTGGAAATA